TTTAAATGTTGCGAATAAATTAAATTTATTTTTCTCCTGGCTGTTTACCTTTCTTGAACATGTCAATTATCCGTATATGTAAACCATGCAGCTAGATCATTATAAGGGGTAAAATGGATCGGTTGATATATGCATCAAAGATTAACACTTTTGAAATTAGGTTATTAAGTAAATTCAACTGAACGGACCTTTTTCCGATGTAAGAAGAAATCGAGACGTCCTTTTCTTAAAATTCTACAAAAAATAGTAAAAATCTTTGAACAGATAATCAACTTTGAAAAGTATCATCTTTGATTTTCTTACCTGCGCAGACGCAATATGCAGCAAAGATTAGCATTAATTTCAGATTCACAATAAAGCTTCTAGTGCAATTATCTTGACAAATAATGAACATAAAGTATCGTTTATTTGCATGCATATTTTTAATAACACAGTTTAGCATATAATTTCCTTAAAATGTAAGATGGTTGTTTAGAAATAACTTCTAATAGGTATCGTCACCTGCATTGTTTCACTATTGCTTTTTTTTTATACTTTTTCAAAAGAGTGTCTTTTCTATTGTTCTCATGCCATCGGTTTTGCCACTGTCTCATTTGATACTTACTTGTGATAGCACATCTCCTTATTTCTATATCATTGATTACTTTTAATTGGAGACAAGACCATGTCCGATAAACTGATGTTTTTTTTTATTTGTGTTTATGTTTGCTTGCTTTCTTTGGTTAATTGCATGTGTGAATGTTCTAATATATCAGCCCGGTGCATTTTGCGCCTGTCCTAAGTCAGGAACATCTGGTCATTGTTAGTCTTGTATGTTTTTTACATTTTGGTTCATCTATATGTTTCGGAGTTTTAATTTAGCGTGTAAACCATTATTGCTAAACTAGTATATATTATTGTTTAGGGACCAGCTGAAGCCCTCCGGTGCGGGATTTTTTCGCTGTGTTGAAGATCCATGGGTGGCCTTGGGCTGTTTTCTGCTCTTTGGTCGGGTTGTGGTCTGTTTGACACATTTCCCATTTCCATTCTCAATTTTATTGTTTGGTTTGCTTTTATTTTGTCGGTTTTAAAAGCTCTCAAGAGCATTTTGTTTACAATTATCTTGTACATACCAAATTGTGTACTGCATGTTCTGTATATACCATACTGTGTACTGCATGTTCTGTATATACCATACTGTGTACTGCATGTTCTGTATATACCATACTGTGTACTGTATGTTCTGTATATACCATACTGTGTAATGTATGTTCTGTATATACCATACTGTGTAATGTATGTTCTGTATATACCATACTGTGTACATATTCCCTGAAACTTGGTACTTGCAAATTTTCATAAAAATCAACAAGATCACATATATATACGTACCTGATATCCTAATGGAAAACAGTAGTGATTTATCTCTACCTTATAATTGTATTCAAATTTCTTTAGTCTCTCAGGATGGCATTTGTATTTCAATTATAAAATTTCTGTTATATTCAATGTATATATATATATCATGATTGTATATTATAGGTGAGGGTCTGGATGGTGTTATATAATACAGAATAATGGGCACAAAATTCAGAATAAAAGCCCCAAAAAAAAATATAAAGAAAAAGAGAAAAAATAGGCCAAATAGAAAATAAAGGGGTGCTGAAATATAAGGAAAAGAGAATTATGAAAAAAAAGAATAGAGAAAAATAGAATAAAACATTAGAGAATACAGAAATGAAAGACCCAATCGCTACTCTCTTAGAGGTATAACAAGTGGTGATACTTTAATAAAATATTGAATCTGAATCTTACAAAAAAAATGAGTCATAGACACTTATATTCTTAAACCCAAATTGGTTTCGATGATTCGTTGCTCACCATCCACATTCAACCAGTGGTATATATGAGTAGCCAATAATTTATCAGTATTGTGGAACAGAATCCTCTTCCGAAGCACGTGAGATCACCCCGGTTGTAGTTGGGTTCGTGTTACTCAGTCTTAAGTTTAGTATGTTGTGTTTTGTGAAGCTGTTGTTTATCTTTTGATCGTTTTTCTGTTTTGCTATGGTGTTGCCAGTTTGTCTTCGACTTATGAGTTTGAATATCCCTTTGTTATCTTCCGAATCATACCACATCTTTTTTTATAGTGTGTAACAGTCTAAAATTCGTTGCTCAGAGTCCACTTTTAACTAAGCGTTATATATAAAATGAATGAATAATGCAAAGTAACTTTCAGTCAACATGGTCAAATTAAGGAATAATTTGTTAATATTATCTTCTCACTTATTACATCATTTGGCTAATATGGACGTATTATAATATTTAACCCCGCCACATTCTGTATGTGCCTGTCCCAAGTCAGGAGCCTGTAATTCAGTGGTTGTCGTTTGTTGCTGTATATCATATTTATTTTTGTGTCTTTTCATAAATTAGGCCGTTAGTTTTCTCGTTTGAATTGTTTTACATTTGTCATTTCGGGGCCTTTTATAGCTGACTATGCGGTATGGGTTTTGCTCATTGTTGAAGGCCGTACGGCGACCTATAGATGTTAATTTCTGTGTCATTTGGTCTCTTGTGGAGAGTTGTCTCATTGGAAATTATACAACATCTTCTTATTTTTGTATTTATCTGAAACATAAAATGCATTCAAATTTTATTTACCTAGTTCCTGCAATGCCTTAAAACTTTTCCAAGTGCACATGTTTGTCTGTACTCAGAGTAAATTTTGTGGTGTAAACACGGCCATATTTTTCACTTCCTTTTGATGAACCTTAAACATATTTTATTCAGAAAATAACTGAAATGAATTGGATAGCAGGCTAACGCTTATATACATACTCTGCGATGCAAAGTGTTGACCAGACTTGACCAACGGATTACAAACTGTTTTCTACTAATTTAGGCCAAAGAATATAATTGCCAATTCATGTCAGTATTTGCTGATGTTTTTCAGATGTAATTTATGATTTGTTGATATAGCCCTGGAGCTCTGGTCTTCAATGTTCAGTTGATACTACCCTCTTAGCTGTGTTTGTTGATATAGCTCTGGAGCTCTGGTCTTCAATGTACAGTTGATACTACCCTCTTAGCTGTGTTTGTTGATATAGCCCTGGAGCTCTGGTCTTCAATGTACAGCTGATACTACCCTCTTAGCTGTGTTTGTAAATTGACAGATGCAGCGTGACAGTTGATACTACCCTTAGCTGTGTTTGTGAATGGACAGGTACAGCGTGACAGTTGATACTACCCCTTAACTGTTTGTGAATGGACATGTGCAGCGTGACAGTTAATACTACCATTAGCAGTGTTTGTGAATGAACAGGTGCAGCGTGACAATTGATACTACCCTTAGCATTGTTTGTGAATAGACAGATGCAGCGTGACAGTTGATACTACCCTTAGCTGTGTTTGTGAATGAACAGGTGCAGCGTGACAGTTGATACTACCCCTTAGCTGTGTTTGTGAATGGACAGGTGCAGCGTGACAGTTGATACTACCCCTTAGCTGTGTTTGTGAATGGACAGATGCAGCATGACAGTTGATACTACCCTTAGCTGTGTTTGTGAATGGACAGGTGCAGCGTGACAGTTGATACTACCCCTTAGCTGTGTTTGTGAATGGACAGGTGCAGCGTGAACAACATCTAGCAAATAATTTCACTTAAACCGAGGCTAGCCGTATTGAACTTGCAGTCGTTGTGATCGTTTTTAATCCAAGCCGAAGGCATCGCAGTGACATTGAGATGAAGAACGGCCATTTAGTTCTTTTCTTCGATTTATTATTTCATGTGTACGTATCGATCTTTAGTCATGCATTGCACCATATCCTTTGTTTTTTTTTCTTAATTTGAATTATCTTTTTATAAACGTTTAACTTAAATGACGTTTTTGCAACTCAGACCCAATACTGGCGTCCATCGCGAATAACATGATTACCATATAATATATATTATATTCATAATTTTGCATATTTCACTGCAATGAACAATACAATGTAATTCATTTTATAGATACCAAATACTGTCGTTTGGATTTTTTTGCACAGAAATCATTGGCGAACCTGTCTAGCGGGATTCTGAGAATTGGACCCTATTTTTCTTCTGATTTTTAAATCGCATAAAAATCAGTTAGTTAGTTAGTTAGTTAGTTAGTTAGGGAATATAAAAAAAAAATGAAAATAATGTAATCTTTTTATTAAATAATAATTCATACACAATCCTAAAATTGACTTCCTCTTTCATTTCAGACAGTCTGAACCTGCGTAAAGCAGAACAAACTCTATAAAATTGTCATTATGTCTAATTCATAATCATTGTTTATAATATTACATATTAATATAGTCATTATTTGCAATACTTATTATGTATGATCAACTATGTAATTAATATACCATGAGCCTTAACCATTTATTGTTGATGAGTTTGTGCTAATAAATATTTGTATTTGTATAACCCGAAGCCGTCAATGTCACGTTAAATTCCCTCTCTGGGACATAATTAACATATTATAATATAAATTATATTCATAATTTTACATATTTCACTGCAATGAACAATACTAAGTAATTCATTTTATAGATACTAAATAATGTCAGCTTTATATATCGTCTTTGATAATTCATTCGCCATTTTACACGTACCGTTTTTATTACAATACATGAATTCATATTAAGCAAGTGTTATCAGTTTGTATATGATTAAGAATTGGTTTCTCATGTTTCAGGGGCGGATCCATGATATTTGAAAGGGGGCGTAAATGAAGAAACATTAGCATCATTAGCCTTTAGCATGCAAACTAAATGGCGCAATAAACATCTTCTTGGACGAATTTATGCTAAAAAAAATATATATTTTATTCAAAGGGGTATTCCTTCTACGTGACCTCCCCTTTGAATCCGCCACTAGGTTTTATATCTACATCGATGAGTAGTTTATACGAGAGGGAGGATGATAAAAAAAAATGTGTTTCATTTTACAACGAGGAAGATAATTTACACAAAATTCCGACTCTTTCAGTTTCACACGTTGTTTATATATATCTCATTGAAAATTCTATTTGGTTACAATTTCCGGTTTATTTTGATAGGTTGATATAGTGATGGAGAATGTTATTATATTTTATCTCACCATTGGTAAGTTAAAATATTGACCATGTTGAATTTTATTCTTGATCCACATTTGTCACAGGTTTAACCATACGATATAAAAAAAGAAGTTTTCTTTTATTACAAGCAGGACATACAACTATATCACTACGTAGGACTAGGTGATCATGGTGACAAGACAAACAATCATAAAAATAAATACGCAGAAAAATAAAGTTCCTGTTGCTATTTGAGTAACAGGTACCCCACTAAAATGTGAATTTATTGGGTTGTGCTAAGGTAATGAGAAACGAAATCGAAACGGAATGAACGTTACGAAACGAAAAGAAAAACAAAATGAAACGAATCTAATCAACAATGAAATGACAACACGAAACGAAATATAGGACGTTTGATATATTTGTGTTTGCGAAATGTTCAGTGACAAATTTTTCATCATGATCATTTTCATGAATATTAAATGCAAGTTCAATACATTCTGACTGCAAATGTCTTCGGAGTTTCAACTTTAATATAGCCTTCATCTGTCGGAATACAAAAATCCATGCATCTTGTCAGTTGGATTTGTGTAGAATAGAATATACTTTATTCCAAATTAAAGGGCCCACAAGGGGCAACAGGACATTATAACATTACACATATTAAACAAATACAAAAGAACAATACTGAGGGAAGAATTACTTGAATGACAGCATTTAATGACACTCACAAAAAACAAAACAAAAAATCATAACTTGATAAAAAGTATTAGATACCCTAATAATGATTGAGGCCAAGTTTAGTTTAATTTGGCCCAGTAGTTAAATTAAAAGCAGGTCATCCCATTGTAGTCTTACAATAGTTACTAAAGACCCCTTATCATTATTCAAATTAGTTTTCAAGTTGTGACCATCTGAAATTGTTTTATTTACAATTTTCCCATAGACTTCTATAGTAAACCCCTATGTTCTATTTTTAGCCATGACGGCCATGAGGGTTGGATGACAGGGTCATCTGATACATTTTTCAATCAAGATACCCTATTGAAAATTGTGGCTAAGTTTAATTCTATTTGGCCCAGTAGATTAAGTGGAGATGATTTTTGATCAATAAAAGATTAAGAAAATTTACGAAAAATTGTTAAAAATTGACCATAAAGGACAATAACTCTGACAGGGGTTCAAATTAACATTTGGTACTGGAAGGTCCAGGACCTTTGACACTCCAAACTGAAAGGTCCACAACCTAAATCATAGGTCCTACTTTTACATGAAATATTTCATAACTCAGTAACTAAGATACAAAATTAATGTGATTTTGGTGTTAGGTTATACTGAGCTTGTTTCATCATATTTAAAGAACTGCATGTAATGTTTTGTTAAGTTTACAAATAATTTCCAGGCCACCATATACATAAAGCACTACACTGTCAGTGTCACTGTGGTATAACTTGTATAATAATAAATGTATTTGTCTTGTATATTATGAAGTCCAATAATCTTTTTTTTTGTATTGGGGAGGGTGTCACTGTGGGTGGGTGTGTTGTCTCAATCATTGACAATTATACAATAAATTCAGGGCTCACACTACTTCAGAATCATAGGGAGAAGTGACTTCTCTTTTTGAAACTGATAGAGAGAAGTGACGAGATTTGAAAGAGGAGTGTTCAAAGTTGCTCGCGGCGCTACAATGTTTGGTTTTAACTATGATATAAAGGGCTATATATGTATCTTTTTTTTTTATATTTTTGTTAAATTTATTCCCGAGTATACAATTAAAGTAAGAGTTCCAATTCAAAGGTGTTTAAGTTTATCATATCTAGTTGCACAATGATTATATTAGTTGTCTTGTCAGAAACTACCAACTAAGTATCTAGCACTGATAAAAAAAGAACTTTTTTTTACACCAAAAAGGAAAAAAAAGTTGTTATATCAATTAAAGTTCAATTGAAAAACTACTCTGTTATCATGTTTATGAAATTCAGTGTTTCTCATTAAAAAAAACATAGAGATTTAACAAAGTTAAGCTCTGCTGGGACATAATATAATGATATTAGTATAATAATAGTCCCAGAGTTGAGCAACTTTTATTAATAAATTGAAACAATGCATATACATGAAAATATATTGATTGATTGTTGGTTGCTTAACGTCCAGTGGAAAATATTTCATGCATAATCAGGACGAGAACAAATTAACAATAAATACAAAAGGTAGGTTCTGTAATAGAGGCGTCCGGGAGTAAAGTCGGAGAAATTTAGACTGCCACGAGAAATGAGGGAATATTGGATAGGGACATGTACAGAAATTTAGCCTTGCAACAGGCCACCTAAGGACCCCTCAAAGAGTTGTTGCAAGGGTTCTTAACGTGCAAAGAGCGTGGCACTCTATTTACACGAGGCATCGGATTTAACGTCCCCATTCTGACCTGACGTGGCTGGAAATTTGTACATCCCGCACAGCCAAACGGACGCCCCACTTTAGCAAGGGTTTTACTGCCGGTCGGAGGAAGACCAATGGTGACCATACTTCTATTCCCCAGTCACCCTTGGGGGGCATGAAAATATATACATCATTCAAGTAGATCAAGTATTAAATGCGTGTGGAAAGCGTAATTTTTCCTTTTGGGATCAATATTCTTCTGAGGGGGTGGACAGTGGGTACCCTTCTCCCACCTCCCGCCCCTATCTCCCACCTTCCAATTTTAGAATCTTTTTTCTCTCCCACCTCCTCCCACCTCCCTCAAAAGCTGTTCAACCCCTCTCTTCTGTCAGCTGCGCCATTCATGCGTCCGTAGTCATTATCGTAAGAATCCGGATTTCGTTCATATCTGGTCCGTTTCCGATGAATGCTGTACACATATTTCAATGGCCGACGAGAAAAATTACAAAAATAAACGATGTTTGAGACGCTTTTTGGAAGGGAATATGGCGTTTTTAATGCAATACATGGATTACAAATTTACTTAAGGCATCTTTCATCACGTTCTAATAAATTAACAAACTTATTTTGCCAACGTTAAAATGATTTGAAGTAAGCTCTCGAGGGGTATATAATAAAAATATGGCTTTGAAATGACGATACTGATAGTTAAAAAAGGTCAGCAAAGTTAATTTTTATTTTCTTCAAATCAAAGGTCCGTCGGGCGTAGCTAGGAACCAAAACGAAAGTCCGATTGCAAAAGTGGAAGGTCACGGACCTCGGACCACCGCTAATTTGAACCCCTGGTAACTCTTTAAGGGGTCAATTGACAATTTTTGTAATTTGACTTGTTTGTAGATCGGACTTTGCCGAACATTATTGCTGTTTACAGTTTATCTCTATCTATAAAAATATTTAAGATAATAACCAAAAAACTGCAAAATTTCCTTAAAATTATCAATTCAGGGGCAGCAACCCAACAACGGGTTATCTGATTCGTCAGGACAGATAGATCTAAACCTGATGAACATTTAACCCCAGTCAGATTTGCTCTAAATGCTTTAATTTCAGAGATATTAGCCAAAAACATGCATTTTACCCCTATGTTCTCTTTTTAGCCATGTTGGCCATGTTGGTTGGCAGGCGGGTCATCAGACAAATTTTTTAAACTAGATACACTAATGATGATTGTGGCCAAGTTTGGTTTAATTTGTCTCAGTAGTTTCAGAGAAGATTTTTGTAAAAGATTACAGAAAATTACGAAAAATTGTTAAAAATTGACTTTAAAGGGCAATTACTCCTTAAGGGATCAATTGACAATTTTGGTCATGTTGACTTATTTGTAGATCTTATTTTGCTGAACATTATTGCTGTTTACAGTTTTTCTCTCTCTATAATAATATTGAAGATAATAACCCAAAACTGCAAAATTTTCTTAAAATTACCAATTCAGGGGCAGCAACCCAACAACGGGTTGTCTGATTCGTCTGAAAATTTTAGAGCAGATAAATCTTGACCTGATGAACAATTTAGATTAACTCTAAATGCTTTGGTTTCAGAGATAGAAGCCAAATCTACATTTTACCCCTATGTTCTATTTTTAGCCATGACGGCCATTTTGGTTGGCATGCGGGGTCATCGGACACATTTGTTAAACTAAATACCCTAATGATGATTGTTGCCAAGTTTGGTTAAATTTGGCCCAGTAGTTTCAGAGGAGAAGATTTTTGTAAAAGTTAACGGACGACGACGACGGACGGCGGACGCCAAGTGATGAGAAAAGCTCACTTCGCCCAATGGGCCAGGTGAGCTAAAAAAGAAATACATATTATTTAACTAAGTCTTGTATATGTTGAAAAAGTCAATATAGGAAGGGCAATAGCATTATGTTAATGGGAAGAAAGAAAGGGATGATCATTTCAACTGACACGAAGAAAAGGTGGTTAGTTGTTTAGGTTAGGACAGGTTATTCTGTGTTAAAACAACAAAAATTTGTAAAAAAAAACAATAGCAATTAAACTTCAACCTCTATGTAAATGCTAGAGAATGAAAAAATCGATAAACAACAGTCTTCAAAAGACAATTATGAATGAGCATCAAGAACCCCAATCAAACCAGAAGTTGAATTAGATGTTCCCCACTGAAGGATCAGCAGTTCCTAATCCACTATAATGACACCGCTCGTGTAACTCTTACCGTAAACTAACCTGTGATGAGTCAAAATCCTGTGTAATCAGGCGTCATAAACTAAACGATATATTATTTTTTCTTGTCTAGCTGTAGCTAAGGCACAACCAAATGCATTAACCGTCGGTACAAATAAACTATTAAGTATCTCTGAAACTTGACCGAGCACGAAATCTCGATATTTTTTAGTACAAATATATGATGGGCAATGTCGTAAAAACTACGTGGATATTAAAAAAATGAAATTTTATCAAAATATGGGACACACAAACTGAAGAGCAAAATAATAGGAACCCCCATTAAAACAAATTCAAGGATGAACTCAGGTGCCTTAATGCTGAAGGTTAAGCAGGAACTGCTTAAAGCAATTCGTAGGAGGTTGTGGATGGGGGATCCGTTATTGCTGTATTCTTTTAGACCATTTTTTCTCTATTCTTTATA